CAATATCTCCCATTCTACATAATTACTCTGACAGTGAAATTTTCGTTGCTGGCAATTTCAACATCCGCAATAAATAGTGGCTTCGCTTTCGACACTCCGGAGGCACGCGATGCAGACATTATGATACCTCAGAACTACTTAACGCAGCCTATAAATAAACCAACGTATATTCTATGATTGTATTGATGGATTACAACAAAATATGTTAGTTGTTTTTCTTACTTCGCATCCACTAAATACGAATTCAAGATTGCTACATCTCTCGGACCACTGAATTGCATGCTTTTCGCCACGTTCCTTTTCCAGCTTTGCAATGCGATCTGAGCAGAGCTAATAACTTTCCCAGGTACTTTAATTTGAACTTATGCTTCATTCGATTAAGCGAAAATTCAGCTGAAATGTTTGCTTCAAACTCTAATCTACCACATAGTAATTAATCAATGCCATCGCTTGAATGTGTAATATATTCAATGCACGCACTCTTTCAATTCTCAAAAATCGCCGGGGCCAAATGGTATTCCAGTCGTACTGACATACTTGTCAGCCGATTTTCAGCAAGTGCTACCATGGTGGTGTTTCTCTAACTTTGTGAAAGATTGCCAACGTCTAGTCCAAACTCTTTCACAAAAATCAGTCCACTGATGCCATAATGTCCTACATTACCGAAAACTGGAACTAAGCTATTCGTCACTTTGGCGAATGTAAAGTCGTTGCCCTAAACATCACCAAGGCGTTCGCCAGAGTATGGCAGGAAGCTCTCGTCACCAAACTCATGGCACTTGGTGCCAACAGCATTTCCGCTTGATTCATATCGAAGTTTCTGACCAACCGTTCGATAAGAATTGCAATCGACGGGTAATCCTCAAACGAATTCTACGTAAATGCAGGTGTATCTCAAGGCTTTGTTCTCTTCACCTGTCTTCCTCTTGCTCATTAATGAACTCCTATACGTAACAGAAAATTCTGTTGCTCGTTTGCAGACGACAGCATTTCGTGTTATTCGTTTTTCTTCAGGAAGAGACCATATAGCAATGAAATAGAAAACAAACCCCGCATAATGAATGACACGCTAAATTGGGACATTAAGAACACATCTGAATGGGGCCAAACAAAAGAGGAAAATTTTAACGCCTCTAAAACTCAATGCTGTCTCCTAACGCAGAAGAAAAGTGATGAATAATGCTTTCCTCTTGGTGGTGTGAAAATGAAAAAAATCGGCAAACCTTCGTATTCAGGGCATAAGAATATAAAACCATGTTGGACAGAATATTTTTTGAAAGTGCTTTACCATTAACATCGCCTGTATCTAGCCGAACTTAGAGTATAGCTCGCACGTCTGGGCGGGAGCCTCCAAACTCTACTTCGTGGCCCTCGACCGCACATAGCGAAATACTCAAATGCTAATGGCCGACGCAAAACACTCTATATGTAGTTGAGCACTGGCGTAATCTGAGTTGTGTTGGGCTTATGTACAGATATATCCAAGATATGTGTTCCAGAGTGATTAAAGAGATTTGTCCGCCAACTAGGTCCTTGAACAGGACTACACGGTTTTCTCAGCGCTGTCACCCACTCGTCTTGGAATTACCTGTGTACCTCACAACATGCTATTGAGACTCGTCGTTTTTTAACCGTAACGGCCGCCTTGGGAACAGCCTTCTCACCGTTCCTAATGTTTCCATTTTCAAGTCGAAACACTACTCCCTTTCTAGTCCTCTCTCTTTCTTTAACCCTTTCTGATCGCCTTCGTGCCGGCACGGATAGGAGACATAGTTGGAGTTGGTGGGCATTGAAAAAATTTGGTTCTGATTCAGAATATATTATACCTTATGCGATCTCCGCAGCTTTCTTCTGAGTGTTCGGTGGTGGATATAACAGTTTTTTTCTACACTATTGTATGCTTGACGATATCTCATATAAACATACAATATTATTTGTGAGAGCAGCGGTTAAGAAGCGGCATGAAGATCAAAACCCTTTCGTTGGTTTGAGCAATAATTCATATACAACAGTTATTTGCGATATGCCCAGTGTTTGGATTTTACAACAACCATGTACGTAATATATTATATTAATTATATTATTAAATAAAGATGACCTCTTATATAAGGTATTGGGCTTCACCATGAAAAAGCGTACGCAAAATATTGATTTTTGCTACTGCTATTGTCTTGAATGGTTGCATTTGAAATTTGGCCGGATCATATAAACAACAAAGCAATGAAGGGAGGGAGATACTGTCATTGTTATTATCTTATTTACGTCCACTTAAGTACGGATAATATTTGTCTTCATACATGTGCAATGTGAACGTGGATGGATTACATGAATATTTACTTCCGTCACCAGCTGTGGAAGATGTAATCATTTTGTCTTTTTTTTCCCTTCCTAACAAAAAGAAGTTGTTTAAAAAGTATTTGTCAGCTATGAAAGTCAGAAACATATCTATGTAAATAATATACAAATGCAAACTATGGGAGAGAACATTTAGAAGTTACATCTTTACACCTATTTACATCTAAGAAGAAATTTCAAACTTTGTGCTTCAAGTATAGTGGCTACCAAAAATCGACCTTAAAACAATCCATTTATATTTGTTTTACTTTATTTTAATAAAATTAAAATAGCGTAATTCTGACAGACCTTCTGGGAAACGAACACGTGACAGACGCTCGCCAGGTAAGTATTTTGTGTACATTATGATTCGTGTCGTTAATTGTAATATTTTCATTTCTACTTGAAATAGTGAAGTAACTTACAATATCAAGGGGTTGAGCCATTGTCATGGCAGAACACCGTCTTCAAATTGATTTCAATCAAACTGTACACCGCAAATTATTTTCTCGGAAAAAAGTAAAATAAGCGATAGTATGAGGGCAATATGAATGCGTGTGCCGAAGAATAACTAAATATATATAATGTGTAAAACATGTATACATACTTAGATGTCCAAGTGAATGTAATTATGTACATGCGCTTATAAATTGTTAAACAAGTGCAACAGAATTAATATTGAGTTTTATACATATTTTTTTATATTCAATTATATATACACTTATGTACATTTATACAATTATACGCATGTCTACATGTATGAGATATAGACATATGTATAATATGTTACGTCGTGAGGAAATTTGTCAGCGGTACCTTAAAGCAAGCACAAAATATTTAGGTTTTTGTTCCGTATCATAAGATCATATCGTAAGTAGCGATGATTAGTAACCTATTTCACATTGTTTTGTATTTAAATTAAAATTGTTTTGGGCATGAGCTACTGATCTAAGATATTTTTGTCAACATCTCTTTGTCTGTTAGCTGTGAATTAATCAAATAAGACGCTTAATATAGATTGAAGTGAGTATAAATCGGAAATTAGTACTGAAAGTATGAATACAAAAGAAATTTAGGAAAATTGTGAGTTTAATTAGTTTCGAAGATTGGAGTTCGGTAGTTCGGTAGCTAAGTCTTGGTTCTTCTGCTACTTAAACCTTTTGTTTTAGAAATTTCTTTCTCTCTTGTACTTTTTTTATTTTACTTGCAAAATTTAATTGAATAATTGATGACTATGTCGGGAGACACGTATATAGAATCTTATCAAATTGTTAACATCTCGCACTAACAATTAGATGGGCAGTCGACTGTGTTTACAAAATAACAAAATTTTCGATCATTCGAAGAAAATTGATGAAATAAAAAGAAGTTTACCTATAGATATAAAAGAAATAGAGACAAAATATTAGACCGTGTATCGAAAGAATGGATCAACCGGAAGAAAAATATATTAAATTGTTGCTGTAGACTTTAATAGCTTCTTCTAAAATCCAAAGAACCGCTCTTAAAAATTAAGAAGAGGTAATTAATTATCAGGAAAAGTAACACATCGTAAAATTATATGTTGCTTAAACGAGGGAAAATTATATTTCGCTGGATTTGTAATTTTGAAACAAGACATTCGAAAATTACTCCTACTTTCGATTTTTCTGTTCTATAATGTTTACAATAGAGAATTTTCTTTTTCTTCTACAATAGAGTCATATATACTTTTCCACATTTTTCAAAAATAATTTTAGTATATACAGTTATTTCAACACAGTTGCTAAATAAGGGCGATGTGTCAACTTGTAATATCTCTAATTTATGGGTACATAACTTAAAATATCACTCTATATGTCTCCGATCTGGTACAAATATGGCAGCGCTGTTAGCAAGCTCATATGCTGTCTGGATAGTACTAAGCTTTAAGTGATACGTGCCAAAAATTCATGACATTGTGACATTCTGTGCAGGGTACAGCTGTTTTAATGAGGCTACTTTTATAATTTTCAAACCAATGGAAAAATCTAAATTTCGTGTGTTGAATAAACGTCTCTTTTCGACGAGCAAAATATGACGTTCCAATTCAGCATAAACTTGCAAAATGTTTTCGACGATTCTTGCCTGCCAAAATAAAAAAAATTTGTTGGTGGATTGCTAACTTTAAAGATAAGACACCTAAATTTGATAACTGTCTCAGAAAACATAAAAAAGTGCATAAAATTGTTTTGAAAGTCCATAAAGAGAAGTTGCTTGCGACATCTGGCACTTCAAAGAAGTCAAACAGCAGATAATTTACTATTTTGCTTGAACATTTATCTATGAGACAGTTTTGCTTGAAGTGGGTGCCGAGCTTGTTCACTTCTGATAACAGTTTGTCGCAACGTGCTGTGTGATGCTGACTGAACAAAATAAAAAGAATTTTTTCATGCGATATGTAAAAATTGATGAAAAATGGGCTTGTCACTACAATCCAGAGTCAATTCGGCACTCATCTGAATGAATAGCGATCGGTGAAAGCAACCAGAAAAGTAGTGTCAGTAAAATAACTGTAATTTGTCAACTAATGCTCGAAATGTTATGAAATCTTGACAGGTATCAGTTGATTGCCCAGGAATCATATTAGTCTGTTAGCAGTGTTGCCATTATTGCCTTATTGAATGACGTGATATATTGTTAATTACCTGAAGTGGTCGTTGCGGTGGCCCACTTATACTATGGTGGTGATACATAACGTCATGTTTAATTTGGGAGGGCATTTGTGAATGTACATGGGTTGCTTGGTGCTTTCCCATGTCGACAGCAGCTAGAGCTTCAGCTCTACTAAGTATTCCATCGTTAATTCCGGCAAATATATCTCCCTATATATAAAATACATAATTTCACTTTAATAAATAATGAAACGTTCTTGAAAAAAAATATAAATTCTTATATTACAATAATTAAAATATAAATATGTAAAGTTATGATATATGGCATTAAAATTAAGCTAATACGTCCTTATATATTGTTTTGTGAGTTTTTTCTGTAATTTTATTGCTTCTTAGTTTATTGAACATATATGTTCGCAATAAGCTTTAATTCAAGCTATTTAATCGTTCATTGATTATCTCTTTGCTGTCCGCTTATTTCGGAAAATTTCATTCGATCCAACTGAATTAAACTATGATCTAGAATATACAATTTCAAAATATCTCTGGTACCTATGGTCAGGTATTATACATGAAATAACAATAGGAGTATAATCCGGCGAAAATAAGCAGGGAATAGCTGCAAAAAAGTCGGTCGTGGGTTATCGTCACACTTGTTAATAATTCAGCGGTATTGAAAAACGAACAATACGATTATAAAAGCTGACTAAAAATAGAAAATGTATACATAAATAAAAAACGCGTATCAGCTTTTGGTGTGGAAAATGCGAAGGAAAAATGCGGTGTTATTTGTTATCATGAAGCGTGCGTACTTAGTTGGAGCAAAACTTACAGCACATCAAATATATTATAAAGAATGTTGGACCAATAACAACACTCAAGATTTTTTTTATGTCTTAGAGGGCGATAAAGGCAGAAAACCCTAATTTTGTTGCATTCTTACTGCTTACATACTGGGAAACGGTACATACGGGTGCTTTGGAAATTTGTGATAGTTTTTTATGTTCTTTAAGACGCATCAAAAATCTCGATTAACGTTATGCACCTCTGAAACTTTTTATAACGCGGCTTGCACATTCCAATGTTTCAGTAGTTATACATATACGTTGCATCATCATTAATATATACAATTTGGTTCCTTGAGTTTATAAGATAATATAAGCTCTTTCTATATTATTATTTTGTCGATTCTTTTTTTATTTCACGGAAAATTATAACTTAGCAAAGACGCAACTCATAAAACAATCTTGGTTATTTTAAGGGGCTGTGTTCACTTCGGTAAATTTTGATAAATTTTCTCATCAACTTCGTGTCCGCTATTTCAGTCATCAAAATGAAATTCAATTCAAATTTTCATATTAAAATTGTGTAAACATTGAAGAGGAGAATTGCAATAAAAACTGTTTGAGATGAAAGCTATTTAGAATTCATTTCAGAGCGAATATTTTTGGATGGCTTCTTTATTCTTTTATTATATACCAACTGTAGCACACGGTATGTTAATTTTGTGCGGATGTATGTAATATCCCGAAGGATTTAAGATAGGCTCACTTTTTATTATAGCCATCGATTTAAAGGCGTTTTCTAAATTGATCTAACCTTTTCTGTCCCAATTTTTATCTGCATATTCGTCTGATATCTGGCTGCGTGTCCATGTGTTTAACTTACATGTCGCAATTTTCAAGATATCTTGAAAAAATTTAGTAAGTCAATGTGTGTTAGCTCAGTTAAAAATTGACTGAATCAAGCTAATGTGATTAGCATTTTATTGCGAGAAAGTGAGGTGAAAAATTTGTAACTTTTAAAAATCGCTGAATAACAGTGTTTCGACATGCAAAATCGATGTGGAAGGTTTGGATCGAGTGAGCAAATTTTGCGAATCCGTTTTCATACAGCTCATGACAAGGTTTTATACACCAAAAGCTCCAATATTTCATATTATGATGAAAATTGGTTCATAATAATAAATGCGCAAGAAAAATTAACTGTACCAAACTTGGATCATTTGGGTCAATTTTTTAAACGTCTTCACATATAAAGATTCTTGTGAAAAGTCTTTTTTTATAATAACAACAAAGGGTAAGTTTCATAAGAACTCGCACAACAACTTTTGTTATTTCGTTACGGAAATAAACGAAGAACGAAGTGCAGTAGTAGAGTATTCCGCAGTAGGCCTTGTCCGACTATATTGTTTTTACTTATTTCGAAATGCAAATAACGTCAAGATATTTATTAGAAGATGTGTGCCGAGGAATGATATACACTGAAGATTAAATCAAGTATTCCAAATTAAATTAATGATCTTTGTTTTTTTTTTTGCTATAACTTGGAATTCTAAAATTGTCGATGTTATAATAATGCTCCAAAAATAGTTTTAACGATTAAGCAATCGCAAGAAAAAAAGGATATATGTCAAATCACATATATCCAAGTGATTCGTACTCAATGTGATTAATTTGTTTTCCTTATTGATGGATACGTGATAGAATAAATTAATGTTTACAATGAATGATGGCTACATAGGCATATTTTACTTGTAGCATCACGATACAAATAAAACCACTATTTGGTTTTGCTGAATTCGATGTGTTTTATACAACGTAAGCAAGGTGGCAAGCATAAATATGTATTTGAGGATATAGTGCCGTTGTGATAAAGCTAATTTGTTTATATTTCTTGAAGAGTTTATTATAATTCTAAGATGCGAGTTGACGGCTATCCTCATGGTTCTTCAATAAATCCCCGTCAAGATTCGGTCAATATGCATTAGATATAGTACGGTTTTTATAGCATTCCCACTCAACTATGCCGCAAAAGTAATTATTTAGGGAATTGAAGTTCGAACCGCTAAGCCCGGTCATAGTTCCGTGTTCATTTAGCTATTCTTGCTTTGCTAAGTCTTTACGTGAAGATGAACAGTTTAGCGGGAATAAACATGGTCTACCTACAACTATGCTACCAAGCCTACCTGCTAAAGAAGTGAAATAACTGTAGCTGGTCGTATCTTCTGAGCCAGTGGCTGTTCCCGAAAACTTCATAGCTATACGATGAGTTACCCTTAAAGGAGGTTAGTATAAGCATCTATAAAGTATAACACGAGCAGTCTCTTTATCATAAACGTTCACAACTTTTCGCTTTGTTATGTGACTTTGCTCGAAATTTTCTCGTTCTAAAACATGTTAACAACTGCAGGGGTTTTCAGCCTATTTAATACAAGTTTTAGATCGATGAGAGTCTGGTCTTGAATTGTGGCTCTCTATGCGTAAAATAGAATTTAAAACGAAGATGATCTTTTCATTTTTGGAAAGGTAACGCTCTCAAAGACGTCAAGGCCCCTTGTAACAACTTTTATTAGCTTCACTTCTTCTTGCAAACGTTGCACAACAGTTAGAAGCGTTCCTCATATTTTCTGCGTTTTTTAACACCTTTTTATGCTTTTATTTCACTATGTGTATGTATGATTGCAACTTGCACGTATGAACCCAATTGCAAAATTGCAGATATTTAAATCGTTATGCTTATATTCCTTCATTAATGATCTGAAAAGAAAAAGACAAGAAACAAAAGAACTTGTTCTCCAGGAATAATAGTGTCATGTAACATTGTTTTCAAATACTGCATTGTCTGCAAACATAGATATATAAATATGACCCTATATGCATAGAAAATACATATTTATTCTAGGAAAATGATAGAAAAATGCTTTGCTCCAAATATTGATCACCGTTATGCTACGTACATTTTTTGTACCTATCCGAAAAGTTTTGAATGGCACGATTTTAAAAACTTTCCCCTTTCGCTGTGAATGTTATTCATTGATATTTTCACATCTTGGACGAATCGAAGCGTAGCTTAATAAACGCATGTATCGTTGATATAAGCAAATAGAAAAGATATTATTTGGTGAATAACCAGCATGGACTTCTGCTTCCAGTTGAGTGCTTGCAACGTAACGCGAATCGACTTTATCGTGTGGATGGGTGGATAAATGTCATGTAGATAAGTGACTTTGTATTGCTTCTTTTGATATCTGATTCGGTCTTTGAACAGTGAATGCTTTAAACCGATTAAGCGATGCCGGTACTATTTGGTACTAACCGCTTCACCAAACATTAACAGGTAATCACAGATCGCACTCTTCTTGTTCCATTAAAAAGAGAATATTGGCTTTCTGCCAAATCGAGTCGGCTTTCTGTTCGGTCTCATTGTTTATTTATTTATTTATTCTGCTTACACAAAAAAGAAAAAAAAAGCATGTACACAACTAGCATATAGCCACACTCACAACCGGTACAGGACCAAATTTGCGATTGAACCCCTAAGCCATCGCAATCATGTACAAGCTTAGCAACCGATAATAGTTAACAACAATTCATTTTCGACTCATCGTGACTTTTTAAGGTTAAGAAGAGCTAGTTTAAGTACGACATAGGTAAATTACGCGCATTAAGCAATGTTGCTTTAAAGGACTTTAAAGAGTCCGATAATGAGAATAAGTAATAGACATCATTTAGGTTCTTGCAAACAACTCTGAGCGGGTTAAACAGCTTATAACTATATTTACATCGACTTAGCTTAACCATGGTAAAGTGCTTATTTCACCAAGTACTGCAGGCGAGCCAATAGCACCATTTATTACTCTGATTGCGAAGGAAACGCCAAGAACAAATCTACGTTTTTCGAGAGACGGTAAGGACAACAGAAGCAACCTAACTGAGGCAAACAGCAAGAATTGCTTTTAAACAGATTCATTGGACCTATATGAAGGAGACCACACAACAGAGGCATACTCAACAGTGCGAGAGCCACTGGCAAAAGCCTTGAAAACACAACAAGTAAACTCTAACAAATTAGTGACCGTAGATCTTCCTTTCCAAAAGCTATGCTGGTGTGGAGTAATATACGAATTAATGGCAAAGGCCAAATGCTGAGTCAGAATTCTCTCGAGCAGTTTAGGCAAGACACTCAACTTGCCTATGCCTCTGTAGTTCTCAACAAGTTGTCTACTTCCACTTTTGTAAATAGGAATAAGGAAACTGCTCTTCCAACACAAGGGGAAAACACCTAACTACAAAGACCTGTTAAAAATCTTAGAGATAACACCACAAAACTCGACAGCGCAAGCTTTAAGTACACATGATCGAATTCCATCAGGTTCAGACGCACAACTATATATTTGAGAGGTCAAGCCTTTAAAAACATCATCCTCA